CTGCCACCTACTGGCGGTTTTAATTTCACATTTAAAGTGTCTTTTCATTTTTTTTAAAATAATTATTCAATATTCAAATATTCAACGTGTTATGTTTAAAATATCAAAACAGTATGAATGCATTTGTAACTGCAGGTTAAATACATTCATGTCCTGCATTAAACAGTGTGTAAATGCATCTAAGTGCCCCTTCTAATGCAGATTCTGTGTTTTCTCTGCATTGCAAAGATTCATTTTGTCAATACTGATTTAATTTGCTTGGTAACAGCCCAAATGACTTATTATTCTAATTGACTGATTCAATTTAAGAATTTGACTTAATTTGCCTTGCTAACATCCATGACTCATGAGAGCTACATGATTCAGTTCACTGCATGATTCAGTTTATTAAAATGCATTTAGAATGATCACATAATTCAATATATGGGGGCAGAAATGTATATATTTATATCATTTAATATAGTTAATCAGTATCACGCGAAGACTGACGTTTTTTCCACCAAAAAGCAGCATGATTACAAATGTGATATTGATTTTATACAGCAGTTCAATAAACAAGAATTTTATATTAAGATACTTATGTTTTAGACACAATATTGACTGTTTTTGCGCTATTTCGCCAACAAATATAATTCCAATTTGCATCTCCGAGCAACATGACGGTGTTTCGTTGAGTATTGTTTAGCACTTATCTTTTGATAGCTACACTACAGAGCCCTCGTTAATTTACCCTGCCTTAGCCTAGCCTAGTCTTGCCTTGTCTGTTTTCACGGTTTCTGATCCTTGCCTGGTTTCCTGGATTTATCCCTTTAGCCTTGTCCCTGTTGATTCTGTCCGCCGTTCGTTGACCTTCGCTAGCCCTAGGATTATTCTTGTGTCTTGCCCACCATATACCTGTTTGCCATTGGTCGACCCTGCCTGTGTTTCTGACCTCTCTGCCTAATAAAGGTTGCACATGGATCCGCATGTCTCACGTCTTGTCAGCCCCGTAACAGAATACTCGGCCACACAAGGATCCAGCAGCTTCTCATATGGAAATTGGCCAGGTATGGACACTGCAAGGCTGTTGTTAACCCTCGAGCAGGGCACCTGCTCGCTCGAGGACTACATTCAAGAGTATCTGGACATTGCCTATCACTCTGATTTACCGGACTGTGTTTTGATAGATTTCTTCTGTACTGGCATTAATCAATCGCTAAAATTTAAACTCATTCACGAGGGTCCGCGTTCATCACTGAGTTGTTTTTTGGTTTTTGCTTTGTTGACTGTTGGCTCTCTATTCACTGTGGGTATCGCGGAGGAACAGTCTTTGCAACTTCAGGGATCTTATCTATGCACAATCAGCTTGTAACACTCCAAAGAGAAAGCAAAACTTGAAATCGCATCATATGACCCCTTTAAACTTATTGGAAAAGATTAATTTATATCACTGCTGTGAACTGATCACTGTAGGAGTCAGCTGTCCACGGCAGTCCTTAAGATATCAGCACAATAACACACTCAGCAAAATATAATCTAATTATCGTTATTGATAAAATCCCAGAAAATATTGAGATATATTTTTGTCAATATCGACACTTTTGATTAGAAAAAAAAACACAAATTAAAATAAATATGAAAAGTGCCCTTTTTTCCACTTGAGCCCCTGCCCCTCAAAATGTCTGCACTATGTCTCAACAATGTTATCCTGGTCTTGAGACCTTTCCAGCAGCAATATGAACCTTCACTCTGGTTTAATTTGCTTTAAAAAAAAACAGGTCTCCAGAGTAATATCTTCAGCACAATATGTTCAGCCTTGTGCTGCTGCTTCTGTGATATACAGGTAGTTCCTCCTATGGACCCATAATACTGGTCATCATTTTCCTTTAACATCATATTCTTGTGACATTACTGACTTCTTCACACCAGCATAAACCACACTATCGGCATTATGCCTCGTTATATATCAAGTTATGGAACTGCAGGGCCGTTTATCAGTGTGTTGTGCTATCATAGAGATTTACGCCATTGTCTCTTAAAGGGATAACTCACCAAAAAAAAAGAAAAAATAAACTTTACTCATTATCTACTCACCCTCATGCTGTTCCAAAACTGACTTTCCATAAGGAATTATTTGGCAGAAAGTTCCAAGCTACTGGAAGTGGACAAGACAGCTGTAGTCATCATTTACTCTTATTAGAAAGAAAAGGAGCTTCTTGGACATCCTTCTACATATCTTTTGTGTTCTATCCAAAAAGAAAGTGATATATAAGGTTTAGCAAATGTTGATGGAACTGTACACTTTGGGTAAGTTTTCCCATCAATCAAGCATGTACAGAATTTTTTTTTTACAGAAAATAGTTTAAAAACTGCCCATCTTTCAGCGCCAGTTTGTGAGGACAGCATTTTATTTAACTTCATTTTTTTAAAGGTTTCATTTCATTTGAGTTCCAAAACTGCAGAACGATTAGTTTTTTTAGGGATGCACAAAATTGGATTTTTGCTGATATTTTTGGAAACAACACCAAGTCTCTCCTGTGTAGAGATTACACATAAACATAAACGCATTATTTTTTACTTCTGGATAGTTTTGAGCAAAATTGTGAACAGAATTTTGCTATAATAACCCCTACAAATACAACTCGTTATATACACTATAAACACTTTAAAGGAGACAGACATGTAGATGTTTGTGAAAGATGTTTTCTCTGTTTTGGAGGGATGATGATTTTTAAATCTTACCCTGTTGCATCAAAATGTGTTAATACTTTAGTATAGTTAGAAGTGGATCATTTTATCAGCTGTTTATTATTCATGCAACAATGCAACAATACATATTACTGTTATAGTTTTTATTAATAACCATTGCTATATAGCTGATAACATTGTCTAGTGCTCTTATGAATGTTTTTAAGCATGATTTGTGAAAATTTAACTACTATACTGAATGCCATAGCATAGACTTCTTCATGGCTAGTGTTTGTGTATTTCATTTCATTCTGTAACCTACTTGTTCTACAGATATGTTAAATACTATTGTTTTTGACAGCATTGATAATGTTTCTGAAAGTTACTATCATGATATTTTTTGCGTTTGCTTTACCGTAATGCAATAACCTGTCCATGGGCTTTTTTGATTACTGTCAGTTTAAGTGCCGGCGATCAGTGTTGCCAGATATTGCTATCAAAACAAACAAAAAAAGAAAAACAAATATATAAAATAAGCCAAACTTATTTAAAATCTTTTACAATTAAGATAAGATAAAGATATCGCTTCCCCTAAACTGCAACATCCTACTTTATTAACTTCCTAAATTGTCAAATTAAGTGAAAAAGACAAGTCCAAATGCTGCGCCCGCAAATCAGTCATTTAGACAACACATTTTATTTTTGAATATGAAAAATCTACAGAGGTCCGGACCTCATATAGCTGGCTACAGGCCTGGTTAGAACTAAAACTATATAAAAGTTATTTTTATAATGAGGGTACAATTTGATGTTTACATTTTAAGCCTTTCTCGGTCGATTCCGATAACGTTCCGATAATATTATTATCTGTATTTATTCAGGTATTAAGTGCTTGTGTCCTAACACTTGTCAAGGATGCTCATACGAGATGTAGTTCAGTTTCATGAATCAATTTTCAATCAAACAATCAAGTTGTTTCTTTACCAAAAGTGGCAAAAAGAGACAAATGACAGATAACATAAATGCACTATAAAGCTGACATTACGGGAATACCCTTCAGGTGTGACGACTGTCTGAAGCCAATGAGATTATTATCCTAGTTCATTAGCTGATGGCATTAACGCGCCATCAGTGCCTCAAAAGAACGCACCCGCGCCAACACTTCTCAGATCTCTTTTCTTCAGGAAAGCAGTTTATCTGCCCATGCTGTCTTCAGAGTTTTATTGTGTTTCAGCAACTCCCTTTAAGTGGAGTTTATGTTCCTTTAAGGTGGAACACAATGCTGTTTCTTTTTGAGAATGGAGAAAGCTTGGCCCGTCAGAATGGTTCTGTCTCTCTTACTTTCGTTTTGTAATCTGAGGAGTTTGGCATCCTCCACGAGTGTTCAGGATGCATGGAACGATTTGTTGCTTCAGGCTATCAAAATTTGGCAATTGCTCCATGGCTGATTCTGCTCTATGGTGGTTTATATGCTTGTGTTCCGTCACAGGACTAGAAGGTTTAACAGGGCCTCCATCTGAACTGTTGGAGTCAGGTTTGGAGAGAATTTTGACTCTTAAGAAGGTTTGGTTCTTAGCCTTGGTCTGGAGGGTTTCTATAGTGTCGGCTACACTCTTTAAAATAAAGGAGTTTAAAAGGTTCTTCACAGTGATGCCATAGAAGAACCATTTTTGGTTCTACAATCAGGGCTCAATCTGAGGGGGGATGCGGGGGGATGACATCCCTCTGGTTGAAAAAAATGACAAAAAGCATCCCCTAAGTAAAACCACCATCCCCCCTTACCATCCCCTTTGGATTAATAATGTGTATTATGTAAAACTTATCATGCAAATGAAATGTTAAAACGATCTACTTAAGATCATTCACGAATAACGGCGATTGGCCAATCAGAACTCGGTTCTGTAACAAGCTGCGCACAAGCGGAAGCAAGTTTTCGTCATTTTTCGCGCAAAATGGTTCAAGCGCAACTTTTGAATTTCTTTAAAAAGAAGACAACAGAAAATGTACGATTTTTCTTTCATTAGAATTTAAAAATATTCCTCTTTTTCCTCATTATTGTGCTGTATGTGTAACTGTGAGGGATTGAGAGATGATAGGAGAGCTTACATTATCAAGTCATCGACCTTGCAAAAACCAAACAAAAACACGTCTTGAGAGTCCAAATGCATGCGCGATGAAGCCTACAGGTTAAAATAACCTTATAATTCAAGCAATTAAAGAAAAAACACCCATGTATGAGTTTTTATGTTTTTATATTAATTGCACAAGCAATGCACTTTTCTGAATATCAGTAGGCCTACATGCGCGAGCACAAATGTGCTATTAATTTTATACAACAGTGCATAGTAACACAGTGTTTCGTTCCTTGAATGAATCAGTTTTTGAACGAATCAAGTGAGCCAGTGATTCAACGGACCATTCAGATAGTATGCACATTGTTACGTTTCTAATTGAATCAGTCGTTTTGAACGAATCGTTTGATTTGAACGATTCAATAAATCATTTATCAAAACAGGGGCTTGCTGCCACCTACTGGTGGTTTTATTGTCATCATTATTTATCAATGGCAAGCCTAAACCAGCCAAGGTTTCAGCACAAAAGCACATTTGGCAAAATATTGTTTAATTATCAGTATTGACCAAAATTCTTCCATTTCAGGCCCAAGAAGGAAAAAAAGCTTATAAATAATTGTAACAGAAAGGTTCTTCAGATGTTAAAGGTTCTTAATGGAACCATTTAGACAAAAAGGTTCTTCTATGGCATCGTGAAGCACCTTTATTTTTAAGAGAGTACTGACACAGCTTCTCGTTCTCTACTCAGGGAACCAGGGTTACATGTAATGGAGATGTTTTGTTTTGATAGATTGAAGAGTTGTTGAGATAGAGCCTCTCATCCAAGTTTGGCTCGACATAGTGAACAGACATTAATATGAAATTTATGTGTACTCATTTCTGTGCGGCTTGGTCCAGTGATCATCTAAACCAATTTTGAGAAAGCTAAAAAAGAAAAAAAAAAGGAATGCATTACATTTTAAAACGGTGTCTCCAATAATGGGCTAATGTAAGATATTGAATGTGATCAATGTGAGAAGATTAATCAGGTGAACTAAAAATGTTGTTTCTAAAACAAAGGGTTATAACCAGCATGCAATTTGTGAAGGGTGGGTGTGTTAAAACGGGTGGTAACACCCACCCTCTTTTATGAAAAGAAAAACCACAGTGAAACTATATGGACTATGAAACATTTTAGGCTATTGCTCTCAGCTGTTAACGTGACATTTATAGAATAATTGTATTGTTTGATCTTGAAATTTTTTTTATCTTATAGATGATGATAAAACTTGGTGACAATGACAATAATTTCTTAATTTCTGTCAGTAGTGCAAAATCAGTTGGAAGTTATTGATATTTCAAATAGAATAATGATATGTGATGTGAAAAGAGAGAGAGAAAAAAGGACCGGAAAAGGGTTCATTCAAACTCGGGCCAATCAACCATACAATGGTGAGCTACTTTATTGTAAATAGCCTTTGCCAACAAGGCACTCTTTTATTTAATTTTTCCCCAAGAAGAAGAAAAAAAATCACATCCTTGGCCCCTTAGTTATGTTTCAATCACAGTGCATTTGTGGAATACAAGTTCACAGAATTGAGAATATGAATATAGTTTCGCAAGGCTACAGTCAAGCTACCCAGCAAGAACTAAGGCACAGACAGACAACGTTTGTCTGAGATGCAAACGCTTGGGAATCCAAAGTGCCCAGTCAGGAGACTTAACTCAAGGGTAGCCCGACAAGCTGACAGAAAAAAACAAAATCTCTCCTCTCTGATATGTGTTACAGAATACATCACACAGACAGACCGAATCCTCCTGGCACAGTTTAAAACTTTGAATACTGTTGTGCTCACAGTGAAATTAAGAATTTATGATTTTGCAGTCTGCATGCTTCTCCTAAAAAAGCACTAGCAATCAATGCATGCAGCCTTTTAATAAAGTATTGAAGAAAACATGAGGATTTAACTAAGCTGCAATTGAAAATGGATAACTTTTTAAGACCAAATAAGTAAAAAATATGATGATGTTTGCTAAATTTGAGCAAGATCCTTGAATCCTGTTCTGTTGCAAATCCTGCCGACCTAGATATCGTACAAAGGATTTCCAGGATGTGCCTGAAGCTGAATACCTTAATCAGAAAGGCTTGGATGATGACTTCTAAACAAATAACGCATTCATATATGAATATGCAATATATGAAGTCACTCCTTGTGCTTGTTGGATAGCAGGTGAGGCAGGTGACAGCACAATATTTTTGAAGTATCAACGCAATAGTGAATGTGTAAAGCAAACGAGTGTAAACTCTATGAGTGAAAATGAGCAAAAAGACTTGTTCTGAAATGTGTGAATTCTGTCATGGCAACCAGAAACATTTCACACTGATTTCCTACAAGGGCTGTGCTGAAATGTTGGCTAGAAGCATAGAGATTTGTGACCCTAGCATTAGACCACCCCCTTAATTATCAGCTTTCAGATGATGTATAAATCTCAATTTCACAAAATGGACCCTTATGACTTGTTTTGTGGTCCATGGTCACATAAGCAAGTAGAAGCCTCGTTTGTTAAGGTGTACATATTAGGACATGCTCAGTGTCAATTCACGCAGTTGTACAGTACAGCAGCTGTCATCGAATCTGTTTAAACTGGCAGATCACTCGAACGAGTCTGGAGCAAATGTGTTTTGTGTAAAATTATGAGTAAATGAGGGATTGGGGCTTGTCTGTTTGTTGGACATGGGTTCAAGTTATTTTCTCAATGGCTTTCAAAAAGTGGTGGGGACTAGGGTTGCAAAAAAAATTGTACATTTCTGAAATATTCCAGAAATTTTGGAAACTTCCCAGGATTTTTGGGAATATTTCAGTTTTTTGGGGGGAAATTTACCAGAAATTTTCCACCCCTTTGCAACCCTAGTGGGGACATGTCTATCCCACACACAAATTACCTTTTGCAAATATTTTATAATAAAACAATACATTTATGAATTATTAAATAATTTTTCCACTGCTACAGATTCAGACCCAAATAATTATGCTTGATATTCCAGCTTGTCCTTTGGGTCCCACCTTAGTTTGGGGACCAATCCTCACTATTAACTGTTAACTACAACTTTTGCCTCAATAAACTCCTAATTTGCTGCTTATTAATAGTTAGTAAAGTATATCAAATATGCTCATGCAGAATAAGACATTGATATGTGCTTTATAAGTACTAATACATAGCTAATATACTAGTAATATGCATGCTAATAAGCAACTAGTTAATAGTGAGAATTGGTGCCTAAACTAAAGTGTTACCGTACTTTGCATGATTACAAAGATTTGTTTTTTGGCCAAATTCTAAGGCAGCATCACCGCTCTCTTGCTATGAATTGTCATTATTGTTCTGTGTTCTCATTGGTTTGTTGGCATGTTGGTGGTTTCACGTGCATTTAGGAAATCAGTCTGCAAATTACTCGCCCAAGCACGAAAATGTGAAACATTTTAACTGTATATTGTCATGTTTCCTCATGAAAAGAATTTCGAAACTTCACTGAAAACTCTTTTTACAAGTATGGCATCCCATTACTATATACTGGAATCTGAGGGTGCAAAAAAAATCTAAATATTGAGAAAATCATCTTTAAAGTTGTCCAAATGAAGTTATTAGCAATGCATATTACTAATCAAAAATTAAGTTTTGATATATTTACAGTAGGGCATTTACAAAATATCTTCATGGAACATGATCTTTACTTAATATCCTAATGATTTTTGGCATAAAAGAGAAATCAATCATTGTGACCCATACAATGTATTGTTGGCTATTGCTACAAATATACCCCAGCGACTTAACACTGCTTTTGTGCTCCAGGCTCACATATATTGGAGCATGCTACTTTGGCTAAACTTACTAAAACATAACCATAGGCTTCATTTCTAAACATCAGATGGTGGAACCACGCACCAGTGCTGGACTGCACCACACCCGAGTCCACTGTCTGTCCCATCAAGTCATACTGGTTGAGCCGAGAGCCGTCGTCAGCCACGACCACAGACTGCGCTGCCCCTCGCGTCCAAACGTACACCACCTCAGCCCTTGTGTAGGCATCTTACACAAACAAACAACACACAGAATCAAGCGTCACTTGTCAGCCGTATATACTGCAGCGGACTCTCAAGCACAGCGGAGATGCAGCACACGTTGAAATATTTAGAGCCTCGTGGCTTTGAGTCACAAGCTTGTTTTTTATTCATGTGTCTTCCCCCCCTCACTCTTCCTCCAGCGCAGACGCATCTGTTCTTTCTCTGCGAGGATTAGTTGGGTCGGGGTAGAGCTCGCTAAATCCGTTCGGCTGGCTGAGTGGATGCGGGTGTGTGACGTGTTGTTTCAGAGATGATCTCTACGCTCTGTGGGCCTAAGAGAGAGTCCCCATCTGCTCACACTACTCAGCCTGGAGACTCGCAGTAATATGTGAACTTTCAACCGAAGCGTGTAAAATGACGCAGTACTTACAGCTGCCGAATTTGAGAGGGCATGCATGGGCGTCCATTGGGAAGTCCTCCAAATGCATCGGACATTCAGCTCTGACTGTAAGCCTGAGACAGACAGAGAGAAAGCGGGATACAATATTATAGTCTTGACATTTAATTAACCCCCCCCCCACTGATACACTTGGACGAGGATACATGTATTTGTATATAATTGTTATTAAGCGGTGTAAAGCAATGCATTAATATGGAACTCCACTGATGTGCTGTTGCTGCTCGCCCATTCTGAATTTAAAGATGTAACCATACATTTTACCATTTGTGACCCTGGATCACAAAACCATAAGGTCATAAGGGTCAGTTTTTTGAAATTGGGATTGATGCATCATCAGAATATATAAGCTTTCCATTGATGTATGGTTTGTTCGGATAGAACAATATTTGGCCGAGATACAACTGAGAATCTGAGGGTGCAAAAAATCTAAATATTGAGAAAAACATCTTTAAAGTTGTCCAAATGAAGTTCTTAGCAATGCATATTACTAATCAAACATTAAGTTTTGATATATTTATGGTAGGAGATTTACAAAATATCTTCAAGGAACATGATCTTTACTTAATATCCTAATGATTTTTGGCATAAAAGAAAAATTTATAATTTTGACCGATACAATGTATTGTACAAATATAATATATTTTGTGGTCCAGGGTCATATTTGTGTTTATTATAGCATTACATTTGCTATATTATCTAAATACTATGCATACTGAAGCCATCCGAGGCTAAATATGAACAGTCCCTTGTCATTTGAGGTGTAACATTGAAATTGCATAATTAAAATGTTGGAAATGCATATGTAACTGTCTGTAAATTATTTATTTGCCAAACAACTGCAATTTTCTGCGAATCTGAGACAGTTCCAGAGGGATTCAGATGAGTGGATCCACATCAGCTTTGGCGTCTGAGCTCTCTTGCTATGAATTGTCATTATTGTTCTGCGTTCTCATTGGTTTGTTGGCATGTTGGTGATTTCACGTGCATTTAGGAAATCAGTCTGCAAATGACTCGCCCAAGCGCGAAAATGTGAAACAATTTAACTGTATATTGTCATGTTTCCTCAAGAAAATAATTTAGAAACTTCACTGAAAACTCTTTTTAAAAGTATGGCATCACATTACTATATATTGCCTACAGTTCATATATACATCCTACACTGACACCTAACTGTAAGGTTTTACCAGATGGTCTTAGTATAATTATCTTTAATTATCTTTAATATTATCGGTAATCTTTAATATGAGGATATATTTACTTATCAAGTAAACTTTAAAAAATGTAAAAGTTCAACCATCGCTTTCAGAGAAATGTATAAAAATGTTGTGAGATTGCTGCTTTAATAAAGCAAAAATTACAATAGAAAATATTAATAATAATAATCTGGCATGTTTTAGTCCAGATTAAAATCCAAAAATGTACAAGGGTAAACAAAAGTATTTGGTGTTGTTTGATAAACGCCGAAGTGAATACAATACTGAATATCTGTTTGAAAACATTTAAATACTGCTGTGACTTCCGTTCTTGTCCATCAATGTCAGAAATGTCAGAAAAAGAAAGTTTGTGTACAGCAGTAACCATGTTACCACAGTATTCCTTCTGTCCCATAAGCGCCACCTACTGTCAGAGCGTGAACTTGCATTTCTATTCAGCCCTGATTTTGCTCAGACCCACAGCAAACATGCAGCGTTGTAAAATGTAACTGGTCAGTGGAAGTTAAGCTAATGTGCTTACTAAAAATCCAAACAATTCAGATAATAAGGTATCCAGAATTATTAACCTATCTTGACGTGCCCACGATAACACAGTGCACCGCTGTTTCACTGACACAGCGTCTTCAAAGCACTCGTGAATTCAGAATTAAACTAACAACATATTTTTCTCTTCTATGCACTGTGACTGACGCAAGCAAACTTCATCAAAGCTATTATTACCATGCATTACTGTCTGAACCCCTGGCATATGGGGACCTGTGCAAAAACTTATATGGCTTATTATGCACTGGTCAGACCGCCCATTTAAACAGGAATTACTACTGCTCAGTTCTCTGACAGCATGATAAATCAGTAAATGTCGACCCCCTATTTGTTGACACAAATATGAACTTCCATCATAATCTACTTATTAAGTAGACTAAAGGATGCTTTATAACATGTGTTGTCCTGATGTGTGCGACTGTGCGTTAGTCCCAAGAGGCTGAGGTCCATGTTATTTATGACACAGCCAAATATGAAATTACACTAGCAATCCAAAATATACATTTATAGACTAATACTTTTATTTTTAAAAAAGAAAATTAATATATTTCTATGCTGAGAGAGACCCAGATCGCTTCAGATCAAACACCAACATTAAAAGGAAATTACATGAAAAGGTGATTATTTTCTGAGGAAAATAAGCAGCAGCTTCACCTCATGGTGTAAAGCAGAGTTCCTTCCTCTGTGATCCGCAGAAGTTTGTTAGGCATGGTCATGTTATGGGCGACTGACTTCTTTCCGTTGTGGAAAAACGTGTCGGGGGTCCAGATTTTGCTGGCCATGAGATTGTTGAGACGGAGCACAGCCATGGGACCTTTGAACTTCAGCCTCTCGTCCTTCCAGCTCTGCCTGAAGAACACATCGATGGTGTACTCCTGCAAGACCACCGATAACACATCGTTTTCTCATCCCATGCATGGAGAAAGGCTAAAAATGATTGTCAAATTCAGTTTAAATGTAAGTGTACACTCAGAAAAAAAGGTACAAAAGCTGTCAGTGGGGCGGTACCTTTTCAAAAGGTACACTTTTGTGCCTTTCAGATGCTAATATGTTCCTTTAAGGTACAAATATGGACTCTTTATGTACAAAGGTGTGCCTTTTGAGAGAAAAAAAAAACTTTTGCACCTTTTTTTCCGAGAGTGTAGTTTTAGCTTGTTTACTAAAAATGTGTTATAGCATATATATATATATATATATAAACATTACACTCTTGTGATAGACTTATAGGTCATAGTTACCAGGTGCTGTCAAGCTCCAAATAGAACAAAATAAGCTCCTTTTTCATTCATCGTCAATTGTTTTGAGGATTCGGTCCCACTTTATATTGTGTCCCTAATACCTGTGTACTTACATAGTAACTAGATGTGTACGTAGTATGTAACCACAGTGTAAATACACATTGGTACATAGTATCTACAGCTGTAATATTTCTGTAACTACACATATGTAACAACCCTCTGAATGGTTTGTGTAAGCACAAATGTGTAACAGGACATTGGTAACAATGCTTTTTTTCACTTCACTAAATACTCGTGCAACAGGAATTATATAACTACATTTTGTAACAACAATATGTATAAGAGTAATTGGAACCATTTGCTCCAGGGGGTGGAGATGGGTAGGTTTAGGGATATGTAAAGTGGGAGGAGTTGGATCTCGAGTTGGAGTACCACTGTAATACCAGTGTACTTACATGGTAACTCCTCAGGAACTCTCCACTTAATATAAAGTGTAACATTCTGGACACAAACCACAATTTATATGCAAAGCCTAACTTACTGGCCATTGCTGTGTAACATCAGAGTAATTACATGGTAACTCTAATATAAAGTGTAACACTTTCTTTACCAAAAAGTGCTGTTCGTCCTGTTACACATTTGTACTTTACACATACCATTCAGTGGGTTGTTACATATGTGTAGTTACACAAACTTTACAGCTGTAGATACTATGTACCAGTGTGTACTTACTCTGTGGTTACATACTATGTACACATCTAGTTACTATGTAAGTACACAGGTATTAGGGCCACTTAATATAAAGTGGGACCGAGGATTCTAGTTGAGACTTGTAGTTATCGAGTAGCTCTTGTGCAGTGATTTCAGTAAAACGGCAGTCGTCAAGAGGAGTCATGAGCTTTCTGAAGCATCGGAGGCCATAATTAGCGGCATGAATCATTCTAACAACTACTGATCGTCATAGCTGCGAGCATTTTCGCATGATCATCCATTATGACACAGATACAGCCGGATGTTCTAGGTAGAGTCACATAACTGAGCGAATCAGATGTAAAGCAAAAAAGAGAGCTAACATAGCTCCAGCATTTTTAACTGGCTTTATGAAATTAGAATTATATTGATTTACAGGCATGCTTGGATAATATGTAGAGTTGCTTCATAACTTGTGTTTGGCAGGAGAAATGTGATTCGATCCAGTCAGTATCTGATATTCTGCAGGATATGCAGTTATGTTATGAAAAATATGAAAAGAGTACATTTCGCTAATCAAGTATATACAGTGGCTCCGAAAAGATCATGAAAGATATACTTAATAATATGTCGTTTCACTATATATCACACTAGGTGGCATCTGCAAACAGTATAAATAATGCTAGAGCTTTACTCAGAAATAACTTTACTTTTCCCATAATTTTTACATTGTCAAGGTAGTTTTTATAGATGGTCACCTCAAGTTTACACAGCAATCATAGGTTCATCACAAGAATTATGAACATGTTTTATTAATGCTTGAACAAACAAGTGTCATGTTTTTCTCATTTATGGTTTAAAATATTTTATTTATACTTGACAGGTGTCTATTGGTTAAATCTAAATCATAAATAAATATCACTTGGTATTTTATGTATTCTAAGGCATTAATTTTTTGAAAAGTGTTGAGAAACTTTTTTTTTTTTTAATGTAAAGAAGTAATTAAGATATGTGTTCTGGTGTTATAATCAATTAGTCACATTTTCAAGTTTACTTTGACTTTCATTGAATATTGGATCTGGCTTTCACATTTATGATTAAATAACCACAATTCAAGCTTTTCAGCTTGGTAACAAAACATTTAAGCATGTAAACAACTCTTCTGAACAGTGGCTACACGGAAAGCATGTGACATTTATAGAAAGTAAAAAGTTTTACCATGTCGTGGTCCGAGACCGGCCCAATACTCGTCACGAAAATGTCAGTCTTGACTTCGGTTACACGCTCTGTTGAAGCAAGAAATTAGGAGTTTGCGTATCAATCAGTGCTGGTCATGATACCATTTTCTTTTCTTTTCACAAAGCATTAAAATTTCAAATCACATCAAGCAAACCTCACTATAACCTATAAATACTTGGGTGTCGTTTATGTGGAAATGCACCTTACTTTCTTGCCTCGGTGAAAAACAGCATGTCTATGTGCCATGGAACGATGACTGATGTTGACAGAAGTTGTTAGTCAGCTTCACTTGTTATTTATGACATGTTGTCACTTTGTGGGCGCTAAGGTAGTGCGAGTAAGGTCAAACAGACGCGCTGAAAATTAAAAATGATATGCCGCATGTGTGAGGAGTTCCTTGCCAACTCAATGAATCATTCAGTTCGGTTCAAAGCTAATTTATGTCAGGTGTTAAATGATCTGCATTTATGTGGAAAACAGTGTTCGGTAGCTTTGTTCATAACAAAACTGCTTTCCACCATCGCCTTCATCACATTTTTGACGAGGCATGCTTTTGCATTTAATGTCTTTCAATGACTATACTTTCAAAACTTCTTTCAACATCTGATCTCTTGCGTTCATTACAGTCATACATAATTTCTTTCTACGATTGTTTCATAACACTAGATTATTGTAACATGTTTAGCAAATTGCACTATTTTAGTTCTGTTATGTAAGGAGTACATTTTCAAAACTCTTTATACAAAAATCCAAACTGATCACACTTGCTGATCATTCTTCCCAAACCTGAACACATACTTTCATTACAGTTATGTATATTATCAGTCCACATAATCATTGTTTCAAAACACTAAATTAATATATGCATTGAGAACATTTTTGATCTTCTTTGCATTTTGTACCTTTACATTAATCTCATTCAGTTGCAATTAATGCAAGATACTGTATGTTTCAAATCAACTTGTTTGTAAATGAAAGATGTTACATTGTTTCATTAGATAATACAACTACATTAACTATGTCATGTAACTAACATAATATCCATATTGTAATAGTATGTTTGTAATGGTATGTTTGTTATAGTCTCTCTCTCTCTCTCTTACACACACACACACACACACACACACA